CTCAGCATTTAAGATAAAAAGTTGTATTAGTTCAGTTTGTGAACACCATGAACATAACAATTTTCATATAACATTAGCAAAGGTTAATACATGCAGTATGAATATATTGCTCACTGCTAGTTAATGTTAATGCATTAACTATTGTTAACAAATGAGAACTTATTGTAATGTAACCCAAACCTTTATTGGATATTAATTGCATTAAAATGTCTTTCCACACAATTGTTTCATAATATTATTTGTTTCTTTTTGTATATCCACACTTTTTAATGTGTGTATAACTTGCACATATTACACACATTTATTTTTTCCTTTAAAAGGAACTGGAAAAATGATATTGATGACAATAAATCAAATTTATTTTTATTTTTATTTATTTTTATTTTGGCAATCATTTTGCAAGTGTTAGACAACCAAGCTTTGTATGGTGTTTTACTTATCACCTTTCTCTTCATTTCTTTGATAATTCAGTAAAGTTCAAATAAAATTTCAAGGTTATAAAGATTATCTCTCTGTCTTCCTCCCTCTCTTTTTTGTTGCTCAGCTGATTTACCGGCTGTTGTTTGTGTCACCAGCTGTCTTTGACCTTTTGCCCTATGACCTTTCAACCTGCTATCTGTTCTTGAAAACACAGGCTACACTGTCCCATGTTGCCACAACACACACACACACACACACACACACACACACACACACACACACACACACACACACACACACACACACACACACACACACACACACACACACACACACACACACACACACACACACACACACACACACACACACACACACACACACACACACACACACAGACACACACACACACACACACCATCACTTCTGATACATTAAAACTGGACAGAGATGTTTCTTCTAATCATACGTCGAATGAAAGCATGTTAACACAAACATGTGCGCATGCAAGCTCAATATTTCAGACCTGTATCTTGGCCTAGCACATTTGGAGACTTCAGTTGAAAAGTCACTTTAGAACAGGAACATCTTCCAAGAAAATGAATATAATGTTCATCATTCCAAACATGATTATTTTTTTCATTCATGTCATAGTGAGTTATTGTCCTCATATATTTTATATCTGAAACAAATCCCAGAATTCATTATCACATTGATCAGTGAACAATTAATCTCATTAATGGATCAAGACATCAAATCAGGACAAAAAGGTTCACAAGCAAATGTTTCTGGAGAAAATAACAGCACCCGACTGGGGATGATTTGGCCATTTTGTTTTGTTTTGCCTTCCCAGACGTGGCCGCTGAGAAGATTAAGAGATTTGGTGCGAGATTATTCTCTGTCCCATCAACGCTCTCCATCAAATAAGCAAATAAGTGGTTTGTAAACAAGCCCACAACAAAGGCTTTTGCCAAAACCTTTCAAATCTCAACAATGGATAGTGCATGTCTTGCGATATAGAAAATGAGGCATTAAATCATCAGGGGCGAATGCTTCATCGACATTGTTGATTTGCGTCCGGATGCGTGTGTGTGCGTATGCGGATCAGTCCTGTGAGGCATATGTTGTCATGCAGGTTCCCAATAAATAAAGCTTATCCTGTGTGTCCTTGAAATTTCTCAACCCGAAGTGACAAGCCAAAAGCTTATAAGGACAGTCTGACCTACATGGGTGGGTCATTAAAATTTAGAGTAGAGTCCTAATTAACCTCAAATGTGGTTGAGATAGACACCCAAACAGTATCATAAATCATTGTGATTAAGAAAGAGAGAGAACAACAGATGATGTCATGAATGTGGAGAGTTTTTGCACACACAGACACACACACATACACACCCTTCCCCTTGACATCCCACCCCGCCCACACACACGCCTTGCCACGCGAATAGAAGCGTGTGTGTGTGCGAGAGCTTGAAAGAGAGGGAGGAGGTGCCTCAGAATATAACAGCACGGCCGGCAACGCCAAGCTCAAATGTAAAGGCGACTGGATGGCCTTTTGTAATGTATATTAACTTGTGACGGTCATTCACCTGACAGGCCATTGTTCTCCACGACCCGGCAGCCTCCTCCCTCCCTCCATTCTTTCTTCCTTTCGAGCAGGTTGGGTGTATTGTGTGCAGAGAGGCACGCAGCGATGGTCCGTTGTCTGTTGGGGGGGTTAGGCGAGGGTTGAGACGCCGACCCCAGCGAGTGGGGGTGACCTAAGCAGATGGCGGGGCAGGCTGTCCACTCAGCCAGAATTAATAACGTGTGCCATGTCACATTGTCTGAGAAAACGTTCCCCCTCTCGCCCCACCTCTGTTCATGTCTCTCTCTCTCTGTCTCTCTCTCTCTCTCTCAATTTCAGTTTATTTTATTGACAAGACCAAACCTGTACATTTGGATTGCAAAAGCAGTCATATATACACTGAACAAAATTCAACTCAACAAAATTCACTGAACTCAAAGATCTAATACTTTTACTATGTACAAAAAGGCCTATTCTCTCAAAAATTGTTCACAAATCTGTCTAAATCTGTGTTAGTGAGCACTTCTCCTTTGCCGAGATAATCCACCCACCTCACAGGTGTGGCATATCAAGATGCTGATTAAACAGCATGATTAATGCACAGGTGTGCCTTAGGCTGGCCCCAATAAAAGGCCACTCTAAAATGTGCAGTTTTACTGTATTGGGGGGGGGGGGGGATACCAGTCAGTATCTGGTGTGACCACCATTTGCCTCACGCAGTGCAACACATCTGCTTCGCATAGAGTTGATCAGGTTGTTGATAGTGCCCTGTGGAATGTTGGTCCACTCCTCTTCAATGGCTGTGCGAAGTTGCTGGATATTGGCAGGAACTGGAACACGCTGTCCTATACGTCGATCCAGAGCATCCCAAACTTGCTCGATGGGTGACATGTCCGGTGAGTATGCTGGCCATGCAAGAACTGAGATGTTTTCAGCTTCCAGGAATTGTGTACAGATCCTTGCAACATGGGGCCGTGCATTATCATGCTGCAACATCTTTTATCCAGTTTACATAAAAAGTAAAATAACGATAATGGAATATACAAGAAATACTACAAAACATTTTGTTTGGAGAAGATCTCTCTCTGAAAAGAGTAAAAAAGTCAAGTCACCTTTATTCACTGTAAAAAAAAAAGTTGCAGCCTTAAATTTTTAAGTACAATCAACTTGGGTGTCATTTCAACTAAAATTACATTAAACATTGCGATGAGTTAAGTCAAGTCAAGTCAAGTCATCTTCATTTATATAGCGCTTTTAACAATGGAGATATTACATTAGGGGCCACTAAGACGACGGCGTTCTCTCTAAACAGACTTTAAACGCAAACCTGTGACCTGATGGCGTTCACATGCGCATTAAAAATTGATTCTATAGTTATATTCGTTTGAATATGTGTGCGCAGGTTTGTAATTTACCTACAAACCATGCCTAAACAAACTACTTGTCTTGCCTATACATTTGATAAAGAATTTTGTTTTATTTTATCACTTCGGAGTACGCGAACCGGATTTTCAACAACGCTTTATCTGTAGAGTGGGAAAGGGATCCTCCATAGGGAGAGGATAGTTGACACTTCAGCACTGCATTGTCATCGGGTCCAGGCGAAGGTCCTTCGTCAGATCTGGATCCAGCAGGCTGCGGGAAAACCTCGGGATAAACAAAGACACTAAAGTTAGCTTAGATGCCATTCTTCTTATGATGTAACGAGTACATCAGGATTTAAGGGAAGTGTTCCCAGTTCCGGCTGACCTAATCTATGCAGCCTAACATTGAATTATAGAAGTCTATAATGTATTATGTGTATGCTAGGTCAAAGAGATGTGTTTTTAGTCTAGCTTTGAACTGACAGAGTGTGTCTGCTTCCCGGTCAATGGTAGGAAGACTGTTCCAAAGTTTTGGTGCTAAATAAGAAAAGGATCTACCGCCAGCAGTCGATTTTGATATTCTAGGTATTATCAACTGGCCGGAATTTTGAGATCGCAATAGACGTGAAGGACTATAATGCTTTAAAAGCTCGCTCAAGTACTGAGGAGCTAAACCATTTAGTGCTTTGTAAGTAATCAACAATATTTTAAAATTTATCCGATGTTTAATAGGGAGACAATGCAGTGTTGACAGAACCGGGCTAATATGTTCATATTTCCTGGTTCTGGTAAGAACTCGAGCTGCTGCGTTTTGAACTAGCTGTAGTTTGTTTATTAAGCATGCAGGGCAACCACCCAGTAGAGCATTACAATAATCTAGTCTTGATGTCATGAACGCATGAACTAATTGTTCTGCATTTGTTAATGAGAGCATATGGCGTAATTTAGATATGTTTTTAAGATGGAAAAATGCAGTTTTACAGATACTAGACACGTGACTTTCAAATGAAAGATTGGTATCAAAGAGCACACCCAGGTCCCTAACCGACAACGAAGCCAATGTAAAACCAATGTAAAAACATATGTTGTCATAACTGATATAGTTTTGTTAGTGAGTATAGCACTTTATACAATACAGATTGTTTCAAAGCAGACACAGTGAAAAGAAAATAATGATTCATGCAAACACAATTCAATTCTGCTATAAAGCAGCTCTAAAAAAGACAATAGTTAACAGTCATTATTCAGCTGAAATCAGTTCAGTGTTGATTCAGTTGAGTTTAGTAACTGTGTAAAGTTAATAAATTATGGAACGTGTTCAATTGATCTAAACTAAAGCAGCTCTGGAGAAAACAGTGATTTCATCGTCCAGCTCAGTTCTGTTCTCATTTGATAGTGTCGGTGCATTCAAGTCAATAATATTGTTGAATATTAAGTGTGCCCAAATAAGCAAGCCAGACGCGACAGTGGCAAGGAACCTAAACTTCATCAGGAGAATGGAGATACCTCCAGCTCAGCCCAGTCAACAAAACAAAATAATTACCTACAATTAATTAATCATTTTGTTTGGAGTTTGCCCTCTGAAAAGATATATATATATATATATATATATATATATATTTTAATTATCCACTTCCTTCCACTTTTTTTCTTTTTAAAAAAACACACAAAATATACTTTTATTTTCACCTCTCATTTGTGTTGGCTGTTCCTCTTTTCTATCTCCCCTTCTTCCTCTCCGTGCAAAGGGGATGTTTTGTGCCCACCGTTGAAATTTCCGGGGCCTCTTTTAGGATCAGCAGAGCTTCAGCCAGAAAGCTCATAGACAGGGACAGCGATCATAATCACTACAGCTCTTCCTGTCCAACAGCAGGGTCAAGGTCTTCACACACAGTATGTGCTGTGTGTGTGTGTGTGTGTGACTTCTGGGAGAAAAACAGAGCAATATGAGGCACATGCGAATACATGGCATGTCAAGTGTGAAAGACAAGCAAATTGTAACAGAATGTGGTAAATTGAGTATAGGTCTTGCTATAACTGAGATGTTGGTTATATGCATTTCAAGGAGGGATATCTGGGTTTTGACAAGTCTTTTTGGCTCGTCTCGTTCCCCACCCCACCTCCTACATGAGGAAATTCTGCTGCTGAGCCTGTCAACGATTTCATGCTGCCTTTGGAAACACTCTACTTCCCCGAAACAACGAAGACAGAAGAGAACACTGCAATATTTTTTTTTTTATGTAGAAAAAAACAAAAATATTATAGGTTCTTTATGATTGTTACATGTTGCCCTGGTTTTGTGGTTCTGGTTTTGTTTTATGGATTTGTGTTTTGTAGAGTTCCCATTGATCCTGTATTCTGTCTTAATATACCTTTGTTTCATTGCCTACATTGTTAATTCCAATGTCTCTTGTTTGCCCCTTGATACCATGTTACCTTGTTTGCCTTCACGCCTTGTCAAAGTTACCGTAATGATTTTGAACTGTAAAAGCCTTCACATGCTTGTAGAACTTGTAATCACAATGTGTAAACTCGTAATTTTTTGAGAGCTATGACTTGTAGTAATACTACAAGTATTGTATACTAATACTTGAAGCTGTAGCATCTGACCACTGCAGATTTGTGTGTTCGGCACAGTGCAGACCGATCGATGTATCACATGATCAAATATACCGCGGACCGATCGATGTATCACATCAAATATACCGCGACAGCCATTCGAAAGCATTCAGAGCTTTATACGGTAATTACAGCATGATGTGAACGCAGTATCCATCCCCAATGTTTTTCATGGTCTTAGGGCCCTGTTTACACCTGGTATTAAGATGCATTTTGGTTGATCGGTTCACAAGTGGACAAGGCTAAATACAAGTGTAAACAGAGTCTAAAACGTTTTGAGCTTGTCCAGTTTCAACCACATCCAGAGGAAGTCGAAAACCAAGCACAATGTTCTCACAGCGTCAATGTGAACTGTAGAAAGAAGCAGTAAAAACTGTAAAAGCTGCTGCTCTCCGTATGTTTTTCCGTTGTCTTCGGTGTGTTGTAAATTGCCCACCCATAGATCCTCCCCTCGAAGAAATCAGGGCAGAAGTGGTCAAAGTGGACTAAGGAAATTAAAACACGGTAACACCAAGTATAAACGGGAATCTTTTACTCCTCTACTTGTGATCCAAAACGCATCGTAATACCAGGTGTAAACAGGGCCTTAGTCTAGTGTTGTCCTTTTAGGATGTTACTGTATGTGTGCTCTGTTTAGTTCTGTTTATCTTGTGTTTGGAATCTCCTGTTTGTTACCTGGATATCCTTTTCTTGTTTTGTTTTAATAAATAAGTCACTGAATTTGGATCCTCCTCTCTGTCATCTCTGTATAGTCAGCCACCTAATAATGATCTGAAAAATGTTATCTGCACTGGTCATTAAAAAATTGGTGGTTCATTAGCTTTGAAGCCGTCTACTCACTGCCGTTCAGAAGTTTGGGGTAAAGATTTTTCTAATGCTCACCAAGGCTGCATTTATCTGATCAAAAATGCAGCAAAAACTGTAATTTTGTGAAATATTATTAAAAATATGTATATTTTAATATATTTTTACATTTAATTTATTGGTAACACTTCACAATAACAGGGCATGAATAATCCTGTACTAATACCTGAATTAATACTTATTTCAACATGAACTCATGATTAGTGAAGATATGAACTAATCATGATCTAATGAAGAGCGATCCTTAACTACAACAGGAGTCATAATGATTCATGCATTAATAACAGCAGCCTTATGTTAGTACTGTAGAACTGATTGATTTAGTTTACCCCTAAACGTTTAATTAATGCATTAACTATGAAACATGTACTAACATGTTTAAGCCTGCTGTTCTTAATGCATGACTCATTATGACCCCTATTGTAGTTAAAGCTGCAGCCCGTAACTTTTTTTGGGTTAAAAATTATCCAAAATACAGATTTGAGAAAATACATAACCAGCCAGTGTTCAAAACTATCTGCTTGCCTTAGCTCGATTCAAAGCGGTAAGCTTGTAATAATGTTTTTAATTCCAGTGGTACTGGTGGATTTCCGCGGGAGATTCCAGCATGTCTTTGCATCATTACGTCACATCTGTACACATAAAGAAGGAGTCTCGGCTAGTAGACTATATTGCGTGTGAGGATGTTGGAGGTGGAGATTTATAGCCTTTTCTCACTGCACTTGATATAATTAAACTTATCAATTTGATGGCGGATCCACAAAGGTTCAAACGACAATCACCAGTGACAACTAGAGACTCACCCGCTGTATAATGCAAAAGACTTCGTTCGGACTTCGGAGTGGCTTCAGAAAAAAAGAGACTGCAACCGGACCCATGCGAAAACAAGGATACATATCGGAAGGACATTACATGTAGTCACGCAATGCTGGCGTTGTTAACATTAACAATTTGAGAACAAAGTATAATTTGCACAGTTTTGAGCGATACAATAAGCGATTGTTAGATTTAATCAGTGCGATTTACTGCAATGTCAGAACCAGAACAAAAGTGGATATTTCTTAATTGTTCAGATGACATTTTCCGGTGAAAATTATTATGTTGGTCATACTTCCAAAAAGAATAATCTGTGATTCTGAAGGACAGGATCCACATCGGCGCGGTGACTGACAGCCTCACAGTCTCCTCAAACATTGTGTTCATCCAACGCATTCTCATCCTTTGGCGTCATACATGTGACGCCATATGACATTTCGTCGAAATCTTACGCACATGGCATCCTTTAGCATCAATATAACACGCACTGTTATGGGTAGGTTTAGGTCTGGGGTAGGGTACGGTTATGACGCCTTGGGATCTGCCTCTCATATTCACGCTAAACAATGCCATGTGCATTGGATTTAGACGCGCGTCATCTGTATGACGCCTTGGGTTCTGCGTCTCATATTTATGCTAAAGGACGCCATGTGCGTTGGATTTAGACGAGCGTCACCTGTATGACGCCTTGGGTTCTGCGTCTCATATTGATGCTAAAGGATGCCATGTGCGTAAGATTTCAACGAAATGTACAAAGCGTCACATGTATGACGCCAAAGGATGAGAACGGGCTGGTTCACCGCACTGTGCCGTGCGAAGTACAACTCACGTAAAGTTGATAATTACGCGAATGACTGCAATTGCAGATTTCGAACAGAGATGGCGACAAAGAGGAACAACTGCGGACTGCAGCTTTAAGGATCGCTCTTCATTAGTTCATGATCAGTTAATATCTTCACTAATCATGAGTTCATGTTGAAGTAACTATTAATTCAGGTATTACATGATTATTCATGCCCTGTTATTGTAAAGTGTTACCAATTTATTCATGTGATGAAAAAGTGGAATTTTCAGCATCATTACTCCAGTCTTCGGTGTCACATTTTCCTTTCAGAAATCATTTTAATATGATGATTGGTGCTAAAGAAACATTTTGAATTATTACCACCAATTTTTTCAGTATTCTTTGATGAACTAAATGAATATACGTCTTTACAGTTTTTACAGTCAATGCACCATTGCTAATTTCATAAAGCAAAACTTCAGTTTTCTATAATGTGAGGCTTGTAGATTGCATTGTTTTAATTTACATATATGTCAATTAATTATAATATGTATTACTGTATTGCATGTGATTGTATGTATTACAGACCAGCATTTTAATTAAATTACAGACCTTTTCACTTTAAAATCACATAGAGTTTTTAACTTATGTTTTCCATTTAAAGAAAGATAGATGGGCCTTTATGAGGGGGATAATAACTGAGTACATATCTTTTAATGAAGTATCATAAATCCGGGGTTTCATCTCCATGTAGACTCTGTGATTATGCTGTCAATGTTAAAGGCATCCGTGTGCTTCACAGCTTGATATGACACTGGCCTTGTTGCACAGTTAAACAGATGACAAGAGGCCTGTGTGAGCCTGTTTTAATTACTGGAACGCGACAGAATAAAGCTTGCAGTGCACAGTTATATGTTCACACCATTGTTACGTTTGTGCAAAGCAGACAGAGTTTCAAGACGTCTGTGCAAGCCTTAACAAGACATGCTGAGACGCTGCATCTCCAAGATGTAAAAACAGGCCAGTTCTGATACATCGTTCAGCTCTATGGCGTACATTTTTTTCATTTCATCTAACTGACACAGTAACCATGCAAATACACAGATTTGAGCTGCATTGACCACAATACTGCATATTCAGCCCTGATGTTCAAACCACGTCCTGATGACAAACACAATTCCATTCACAGTGGTTTTCAGAAATAAATAAATGAGATTGAAAACATCTAAATGTTAGACTGTATTATTCCTGCACATGCTTGTATTTTCTAGAGCATGACGTTACCCAAAGTGAACATCAATTTACAAGTCACCACATGTTTGGATTCAGTTCCTTCATGATTTTGGAATAATAGTCAGCTAGTAGTCACAATTATAAAGAAAAATTGTTGAATAGACTGCACAATCTTTTACATAGACTATAATGATATCTGAACAGCATTGGTCCTTTAGAGTTTTTAAAAGAAACATTTCCAGCGAGGCAGAGAAGAACTGGGATTTCCTAAATAAACAACCGATCTTCTTGAATGTCTGAATTGGCTGTTAATGAAGTCAGATCATCAACTCTTCATGGCCACAATAAAGGTCCTTTAAGCTATTGGCTTCCTCATTTAAAGTGGAAAGTTTTACAGATCATTTAAAGATAAGGACAAAAGCAGAACAGGTGAATCCACCATAGAAAGAAGAACCAATCCAAGCATGTTACAGATGGAGACTAATAAAATGCCATGACATTTTTAGGCAAGCCAGTTTTCAGTTCTTGTCAGATTCAACATTTGCTAACCATGCAAGTTGGTTATTTTTTAAAGAGAAAATTGTATAAATGCTATAGAAAAAACCTAATTGGTTAGCCGTAAGTTACCTCAGCAGTGAACATTTGTAAATGGGTTAACAAGGCGTTAAGTGTTGCATGTAATATTTCTAAAGTAATGTCAAGTTAATGATTTTTACAAGTGAAATTATTGTATAATTTACGGTAAAAAACAGTAAAAGGACATTCCCAGAACTCCGTGTATGACGCATTACATATGATTATATTGTATTTAAATAGTTATTTTTTTTATCAGTAATGTACATTAGAGTGTTTTGTGTTATATTTTCATGTTAGTTAATGTTCATTGCATTATTTTAATAATGCAAACCATAATGGGGGTGTTTGGTCTTTGTTTGCATGACCCTGTGCATCGACCAGTATTGGTCATGTTTTATGGACAGGCCACTTATGAACTCATTGTGTGACTTTCTATTTTATTACCTGCATTATTATGTTGGTTATCTGTACATTTTAAGGTCAAAGTAGATTTTGGTAGTTTTAAGGTAAAAGTAGGCTTATTACTATTATATCACTTAATGAAATACGGTTATAACAAGTTGCAAAACATACTAATATGCCTTCCCTTCATACCAGCAACATTGTCTCAATATTTTTTCATAGTAAATTTCTGGCAACCACAGTAGCTGTTTTTTTTTTGTTTTTTTTTACAGTAAATTTAACATGATATTTTTGACAGTGTTAATTAAAAAGCTCAGCTACTAAGTGTTCACATTTTGTTTCCTTGATCGCAATCTTGTGTGTTTACATAATCTTTTTTGGATCAAATATGTTTGAAGTTGCACATTGGCCTTGTGTCTTGCCTCTTCGCCACGTTATTTTGAGGAGTATCCCATGAATTTCTCAGGTTTGTGGATCTAAAAGCTCAAGGTTAAACCTGAACTCACTGAGATACCGCATTCAGTCATTAACTTTTATCAACTGTTTTTCTCACACAGTAAAATATACGTATTTGCTACAACAACAAACGGAAAACCAGACTTCTAATTATGGGCTTAATACTTGTCAGTTTATTAAATTTTTGGTTTCATGAGATATTTTTAAAATGTCGAGCACCCATTAAATAGGATAATGATGTGTGTGTGTAAAATTCTCCTCAGATGCTGTCATCTTAGCTCATATACTCCCACTAAAAGAGGTAATATTCCAAATTTACATTCATGGATGTGCACTCGGGAATGACACTCAAAGCCCAGAGCCTTAAACTCATCTTTTAATTTCACTTGAGACTCACTAAACTGTTTTTAAGCTGTTCTCGGACCTACTACAATTGATTTTCCATTCGCCTCTTACTTTAGAGAGAGAAAGGCACTGATTTGGGCCATGGCTGCCTGTGAAGCCAGCGACGCCTGGTTCTTTTGAAGATGACTCTCCATTTGTCAAACTGCCTATTTCTTGTGGGTTTTTCCCTAGTGTTTTGTGGTGTATGCATGTGTGTTTGAGCCCCCCGAGGCGAACACACTCATACAGCTGACTGCTTGAACTACAGGTCAGTCCAGCCCAGCAAAATGTCAGTGGTGTCTTGTGATGCCCGTTAGCATTCATTATCAGATACGGAAATATTATCAGATTACCCAAAGCACCCTCACTTTTGAAATGCTGCCGATTTTCCTCATGGTGTGTGTGTGTGTGTGTGGTCCTGGTAAACCTTAGGTTATGGTATGGATAGTAAATTTTGAGCTTGTTGGGACTTTTTTTGGGGTCCTCATGAGGAAAACAGCTTGTAAATGATGTTTGTTGAAAATGTAAAAATGCAGAAGGTTTTCTGTAAGGGTTGTGTTTAGGAGTAGGAGTAGGGTTAGGGCATAGAATATAGAGTTTGTACAGCATAAAAATCATTACGTCTATAGAAAGTCACTATAAAACATGGAAACCCATGTGTGTGTGTGTGTGTGTTTGGAGAAGTGGGTCCATCCAACACCATATCACGACCAATTCGTACGATTTGTCTAAACCCCAGTGATGGGTAGGTTTAGGGGCGGGGTCAGGGGTAGGTCATTCGTACGAATTCATACGAATTAGCCACCTCGTAAAATACGTACGAATTGCAGAGAGATCGGGTCAGCACCACAATTCAAATAACCCCAAAAAGAAAGCAAAATATAACTTTGGTGTGCAAATGATATCCCTCTCTGCATTAAGAATGTGACTCTCCACATTACCCACATTGGGAAAGCTGAATTTGTCTCTCCTATCAAGTTTCTCCCTCCTCAGTGACTGCTCAGAGGGCTGTTTCCACTATGATGAGTGTGTACTAAGTGAATATTGAAAATCCGTAAGGCCTAGGCCTTAATCCACACACTATACAGGTCTGTGGTTATAAGGTATCATCTGGTTGGGGGCTGGAGTGAGACTTGCCTTTGGAGACCAGTCTTTCTCTTGGCAAAACACACAGGCAGTCATCAACACTGGATTTACGGGCGGCACACTTGTGGTTTAGTCGTGATTGCTTGAATTGGCGGCACATGCTGTCTGCTTCATCGAGCTCCTGAGATGGGTCTCTTTCATTGAAAATAATCACTTGGGACCTGCAAGACAGATGATAGAACAATACCGGAGAGGGAGGAAGAAAAAGCGAGGGAGAAAAAAGTGAAGTGAAATTATGAATCAACACCATATGGATTGAGAAAGAATAGAAAAGAGATGGTGAAACTGTTGAGCTATTCAAACACATTAAAATGAACGATGTTTTAAAAGCGATAAAAATAATAGTTGTTACTTAGGGCAAACTTTGGCAAAGTCTCAAAGACTTTTCCAACAAACTCTCAGGCAAGGCTGGACAGCCTACGGTGTGCACAGGAAGAGGAAAGAGTTATGGGGATTCCTAAAGGAAACGTTAAATCATATTTGTGTGTGTCCATAAAACATGTTATTAGTTTTATAGCACGTTGGGGTCAAAGTTTAAAACCAATAGTTAAACTTGGAAACACTCACTCCCTATCATAATTTCACATATCTCGAGGCTTTTGTTACAATGGTTGAGGCCCTCAAACACTTGCACTTCTGCAGCCATTTACTGGTTTCATCTGTAAAAGATTTCGGAAACTTTACAGTTTTCATAAAAAACTCTAAGAGTAACTGAAGGTTACTTACTCAGATCATAAAAAAAGACGGGGGAAAGGAATGGAAAAATGGCTTTGGTGCATGAGGCTTCCTCCCTTGAATCCTTTGGCTGAAGGCTCAGTGCCAGATTGTGTGTAACCTGTTTTTTTTAAATCCCCAATCTCTTTTTCTCTGCTGTGACCTATCCATAGTACTCGTGTCGCTCTTTTCCACTATCTTGCTTCTCACATTTTCTTTCTTTAAGCTCCTTTTCCTCTCAGTCCTCCTCCACTCTCGCTCACTGTCTTGTCAGACAAATAAAAATCAATAATACTTCTGAAAGATTGGAAAACTGTGGATTAAAGTCAGTTTGAGGTCAGGTGTGAGATTCCTGAGTTTGAGTCAGACTGCTATTTAATATTCCTGAACAGTTCAGGCATCTCACAGCCAAGCAGCACAAAAGGCATCAGATGAGCCGTCAAGTGTGTTTTGAGATCATGAAATAATCAGGTGATAAAGTGGAATTCTAGCTTCAGAACAACAGGATTATAAAGAATGGGTGATGGGATGTTTGAAAAACAGTATTTTAAAGGCATAGCTTAGGATTGGGCAAATTGGTGATTCATTTGATTCATCTTTTTTTGCACGTTTTCATACAATCTTGCGCTCCAGTGATGGTTAGGTTTATGGGTGGAACGGACAGAAATTCAGGCTAATCAATGAATTTCCTGCTTTACAGCCATGGTCAGCATTTTCTTTCATTCTTAGTAAAAGAGCAGTATGCACATTCTGCTAGCTATGCCATGAAAGAAAGACAGTACAGGAAATAAGAAGGTGAGAAACTGATGACAAAACTATTCCTTGAAAACACTGCAAGGGAGTCCTAAGGGGTCCGTGGAAAAGTCTAAAGAAACAGCGTAAAAAAAAAAAAAAAAAAAAAATTCAACTAACTATTAATTAAATAAATCAAATAAAATACAACATTAAGCAAATTAACTGAATTGAATCAATTAAAATGAATATATATCTAAACATATTATACATCTATTACAGCACAGTAATATATTTACAGTGCATAAGGCTATATAATTATTAGGCAAGTTAATATTGTAATAGTATTTTACCAATTGAAAACCACATCAATCTTAATAATTACTATTAAGGTTGAATATAATCATTAATAGGCGATGTAATTGTTGATGAGGGCTTAAAGTGAAAAACGCCTAATATTCAGATGTGCAAAATTATTAGGCAAGTCAACTTATGAAATTGCCCATGAGAAGAACTTTTGAGAAGAAATGCTATAGAATTTGTTTAATTATGGTGTGACCATTGAACAGCGAAATGCTCAGCAATTGTGTCAGAATGATCACAAAAAAAACAGGTTGAGAAGAAAAGATGCATGTTAACTGCAAAAGTCCTGGTGGTTTCAGATTTAATTCTTCACCTTAATTCTTCAGTCTCCAGAGCCACCATTTTTCAGAATGTGTCATGTTCTCAGAGACTTTGCTAGGCCAAGGAATCCTGAAACATGACCCTATAAGAATCACAAGCTGAAATATGTCAAGAAATAGACAAAGACTGATTTTTTAAAAAGTTGTATGGACAGATAGGTTGAGAGTGACTCTTGAGGCACGAGTTCAAGTCAGACAACAGCAGGGGTGTCGAGGGAGTCATGCTGTGAGCTGTTACTAACAATGAGCAAGACGCACCTTTCAGGGTAGGAGATGGACTCAAAATCAACTCCCAAAACTTACTGTTCGATTCTGGAAGATACATTCTTCAAACAGTTGTACAAGAGGAAGTGGTGCTGGTCCCTTAAAAGCCTCTCTCAACCTTTCTGTCTATAAAGCCTTAAACAAAATCAGTCTTCACGTATTTCACAACACTTCAGCTCAAGATTCTTATTAAGTGGGGGGTCATGTTTCAGGATTCTTTACCTTAACAAAATCTCTGAGAACCTGACACCTTGTGCTTCAGGAGACTCCAAGTAGGTTGCAGTTCTGGAAAATGGTGGCACTGGAGACAAAAGGCTTCCTGATGCTTTCACACCTAATTGGTCCCCTTAATTCTTAAAAGTCTTTTGCAGTTAATATTTGTTTCTTCTCAACTTTTTGGTGACCATGCTGACCAAATGAGCCGTTAACACTTGAATTTAGTAATTTCCTTTTTGCATCCTTCTCCTGGACATTTAATAATTGACACCCCCTTTGGAAAACATTGTAGCCTATATGTGACTATTCTGCACACTAGTCATTTTCATGGTTTGATAGCAAGCTCCATAACTAAACAACTATCTTGTGAGCAAACCTTATCAGACCCCGAGCCTGGGAAATCTCAAGCCTTCACGTCAAAATATCTTGCCAATTCCGCCCGAAGAGGTTATTTACGAGCTTGTAAACAGTGTTTCGGCGCTGTAAAACATCCATCCGCGGCGCCTCGCACCAATCTCGCGATGACACGAGCCTCGCTCACTGAGCTGTATGATGAGAGTTTTCCACCTCTCGCGAGATCAGAAGAGTTTCCCACGCCTGTTGTTGTGGTGTCTGCCCTTTTCTTTCACTCACCCTGCCTCCCTTCCACTGTCCTCGTCACCCGCCCCCTTTCTCTCTCTCCCTCGCTCCTTCAATCTCCAGTCTGCTTCTGTTGTCTCGGCGGCTGGTAGGGTCTGGGAGAGAGGATCTCGCGAGTCTTGGAGTTTTGGTGAGAGTTTGTGGAAGATGGCGCCTGTTGTGACAGGGTAAGTCTGAGATTCAGGACTGCTGCAGGAGTTTAGCTCTTCTTACACACTTTCTCTTAAATTAACGGGTTTAATGAAGGCATGGCGGTTTTCTTTTCCGGTATGGACGTTTACTGTCTTTCCACTGTGAATGATAGTGCTCAGGCTATTTATAAGAGCATGTAGAGTGTGTGTTTTTATATTTTGAGTGTAGTGCGCGTGTGTTGTGGGGTTGTTGCATTGAGCCCCGTCGCGGTGCGTTTGCAATGCATGGAGAGCCAGCCAGACCGTTTTGTACAGTCTTTCTAACCACACAACGTTCCGAAATATAATTGGAATTTTTTTATACATCTCTGTATAAGGAAATCCCCATTAACGGAATGCCCCCAGTACACATGGTCACATTGTATGGTTATAGTAATGCAGTACAGTGGCTTTGTTTCAGGCTTGGTTTCGTTTGGGATTGGAGTGGAAAACACCTCCCCTCTGAATGTGTGCTTTTGTTGCTCTGTCGTTGGTCAGATGTGTTTTTATTGATTGTCTGCTGGGAAATGTGCTCGATTGTGAAGTGTTGTTTACTAAACAGAGCCGCTGGCTCTGCTGTCGCTCACTCGGTGCAGACGAATGATTATTTAATGGCAAGTGCAACTAAGGACATTGAAGCTCCCAGACTGGAAAAAGAAGCATGGAAACGTTTAGGTCCCTTTTGCATGTCAGTGTTTCGCTTGTGCCACTTTGGGACATCGGTGAACAATATTGTGATAATGACAGACAGTATTTCTGTAGCGGGGACGACATCCCGTCAACCCTTCACTAGATATATTATTAAATATAATACATATTTTAATTAAAATATATTTACTTTTTTGTTGCAGATATTAACTGTGCGTCGACTTGTGAAATCAGCATTACAGACTTATTTCACAAACAAAAGTTGCTTCGTTTCGAGATGTACATCACTTGAAATAGCGTGTTGTTCAATAAGTGCATCGATAAGTAGTCTTCAGACTGATTCAGTAATCGATTCTTAGACCGATTCACACTGCCAACGTTTGAGTTGTTTAAACGGTTCCTTAAAATAAGCTTATTGGAGTCATTTGTTTGTGAATGACAACTTAGTAGAAAGTATTTTTTTCGTAATACTTCAAAATATTTCTCCTATCCCACTTAGTCAACTATAATCCAATAGAACAATAATAAAGATAATTTTAGCGTCCACACCAACGTTCTGTTTATTATAATTGCTATGCACAAGCTCGGGTCCATTCTGACTGGCTGTCAATGTTTTTATCTTTCATCACCTGAAAAAGTGTTTTCCTGTGTAGATATAGCTGTGGTGTGGACTTCCCTGTTCTCACAGAATTAGAACGATTAATTTAAACGTTATAGTTATCAATATCATTGTAGTTTCCTGGTGGGAACAGCCCTTACGCTATTCTGTTGATTTCCCTGTAAATGTGTGGCGCTTTCAAAACATTTTTTTGAGCCTGACACAGCGATATTGGTTCAGTGGTGTGCATTTGAGACAATTTGTTTGATCAACCAATGACAGAGGGGGGAAGCGTTTGGGAAACCTGTTTGAAAACAGTCATTTTTGGTATTCTTTTCCGTGACACTAGTAGGGGAGAAATTAGACATGTTAAGTAACATATTGCAGTGTCTAATTTCCATTCAATTATTATTGTCATTGTTGTTTATAGGTTTTTTTATATTCACTTTATTATTATTGTTGTTGTTATTATGCTGTAATCTTATGCTGCAATGTTGATGTAGAAATTTTTAGGTATTTTTAAGTTGATACGTTCATGTTAAAAAGATAGCCTACTCACCAAAGCACCCGTCAACTACATTTAGAACGACACGCAGGGAATTTTATCTATAAAGACATATATGTGTATGTAAATATGTGTGTGTGTGTGTGTGTGTGTATACTTTAGACAGAGTCTCTGGTACCTTTCATCATCTTTGTAGACAGCCAAGTAGGTGACAGACATCCCCTGGCTGGTTTTTTTTTTCCTCTTCCTTTTTTTGGCGAGAGAGCGAGGGGCGGAGGTGGTGGCAGACTGTTTGTTTGGGGGCTTTCCAGCGGACCTGAACCGCCGCTGTTTTGACAACGACTGGTTGACTGGCCACCTGTCCAGCTGATGTCCACCAATGAAATTCGAGATGGCATGTGTGAGGGCATCGTCATCGTGCCAGTGGCTGCAGCGATTCGAGTCTTTTACAGTTCACTGCACACAGCCTTTTGTGTGGTGCTCCCTGTTTGACCTGATAAAGCTTGGGCTTCTCACGTGAGGCTGGTGCTAGCCTAATGACCACGGGTCTGGTGTGCGCCTTACACAGTCGGTTGCTCGTTCAGTGTGAAGCACGAGTAATCCTTCTTAATCCTTGTTTACACCTGGTACCAACTTAACTTACGTATTAGTGTATCACCGTTTCGATAGTAGTGGATTTAGTTTCTATATGAGAAGTGCCACACTATTGTGTAGATAATTCATCAGTCAGTAAGACACTGTTTGCTGTATATGTAGAGATTTTATGTTTGAACTTTGCACCATCCTCTGTCACTAATGGGTCTTAAAAATTGTTCACTCAAAATAATAAATAAATACATAAAAAGGGAAAATCTAGTTTAAAACGTGCCTATTTCTTCAAAGGTACTTTTTGTATTTATGTTGGGGTTTTATATGGTTTTGAAAAACTTTTCAAGAAAAAAATAAAATAGTTTAAAACCTCAGTTTAACTCTCTCAGGTTTCGTTCTCACAGGTTTCATTTACTCAGCAGCAAAAATCTGCCTTTAAATTCGAAATAAATAAAGATTTGACATTTATACATTTTTATCATTATAATTTTTTTTGCCCATATCGCCCAGCCTACATATATATGCGGTGTGTGTATATGTATATATATATATATATATATATATATATATATAGGCTATAGAGATATAGAAATGCACACACACACAAAATATGTACGTGTGTGTGTGTGTATCTATATAGATATATAGGCTATATAGTGCTTTCATTGTGTTTTTATTTCTTTTGGAAAGGTTAGCCAGAAAATGTGCTGTGGTGCTCATTGGAAACTATCAATTCCTTGGTTTAAGAAAGATCTTTCGTGTGTGTGGAGGAAAAACAATCCCAGCATCACCTTGAATGATGAAAGCATGAATCACCTCCAGCACAATGCAGCCTGTATCACGCTCCAAGGGAAGAACATTTTACTTAACATTACACAGACCAATTTCTCTCTCTATTCTTTCTTTGATAAAGCATATGCAATGTAGACTTGGAGTTTAGCCACTTTCTGTAGTGTATAATGACACAATAAAGTCTGTCCGCTTGGGACAATGAAAGGTGTGTGCCTTGGTAAACAGGTAGGCTAGGCGTGTGTGCGTGAAAGACCTGTTCCCCTGGGGCGTCCTCTCTTCTTCCCTTATACCCATTATGCAGGCAAGACACTCTGAGAAAGCAAAGGGGTTTTGAGGGAAGAGCGGAGGGGCATTCTGTGACCTGTCTGAGCTGAGGAGAAATGAGATGGTGTGTTGCATAAAAGAGAGCATGCATGCTGTCTTGCTTCCTGCCTTGAGAATGAGCAAAGGTAAGCCATTAAAAGAAAGGCGTGTTGTTTTTAGCTGGATGGCAGATGCTTTTCTCACCTTGAGTTGCCATCATTATTGTGGTCTAAGTCTAACTTTAAATGAGTGGTCGGTCCGACTCGGTCAAGAGCTTGTGTATGAAGGAAGGAAAAAAGGGAAGTTCTCTGCTAAGTGTAATAAACTTGCCTGTTGCATCATTTCTGTCTGATTTTTTTTTTTTTTTTATGACAGCTGCCCATGTAAATTTCACATGTTCTCACATCTATTTGCAAAGGTCTCGGTTTGAAATGTGGTCATTTGAGGTGGCAAAGACTGCTGGGGCTTTCCTCAACGGTCACACCAGGAGCTTAGAGGATGAAACGGCAAATTTCGAAGTCATTTAGCTTGGCTCAGAGTCTGCATGGCACCCAGCATCAGTTCTGGTCCTTTGCCACGAGTTGCATTCAGTAACTGTTATGTGCAGTCTGATGATCGTGGAAAAAGATCCGCTGTCACTCTGAATTAAACTTTGGAAATGTTTCAAACCATTGGAAACATTCTTTCTTTATTGACTGGTCAGTTGCCTTAAGGATGTATGTTGTTTGTAAGAAGTTTATCTCTTTGCCAAAAAGGTCTTGATTTCATTGGCAAGAGATGTTATTTACTTGTGTGAGCTTGGAATGTTTTAAATGGTCTTAGTTTTGTCAGTAGGGATCTGAATGGGATTATCATACAGAGCCAAAGAATTGCTGTTGTGGTTTGATGAAAAACTGGGTAAAAAAAAAAACCCAATCCCCCATTGTGTTTGACTTGGCATGGATAATGTATGAGGTAAAGAGAGCCCGAGTGCTACGGTGTTTGTGGTGCCCTTTTATTCTTGAATTTCCTCATTCTTGCACTGGCCGGTTGGTTGTGATTACAGCATAGCCAAGGGAACTTTTGCTTTCTTCACTGTCAGCAGTTTTTTTTTTTCAAACATCCAGGATGTTTAATTCAGAAAACATGGAAGTGATTGCCTTGACTGTTTTGTATTTGATTTCTGACTTAATTTACCCTGAAGTTACGAATGTTGGACAAATGCTTAATCTGGAATTTTGATAACCTGGTTTAGAGTAAAATAGGTTTTATCACCTGTGAGGTACGCATGAACGTGTCTGAGGACTTCATGAACCTCTCTATGAAAAAGAAACAAAGCTAGACAGAAAAAAAGCCTCTGATTGTCCATGACAGGAAAATGGCCCCACGTTGATGAATTGTTTGTTTTGGCTTGGGGGAGGACCTCAGCTCTGTGGAGTGACTGATTGACAGTGTTTACTTTCTAGTGGTCCAGCTGTTTTTAAGAGTGTGCCCTGTAATTGAACACAGCGACAGTGACTTTTTGTTGATATATTTCAGATTTCTTGAATGTGTTGGAACTTATAACCCCCAAAAATAATAGAG